CACGTGGGAAAACAAACATGCTTTGTTAAAAGGTCTCTTGTTTGCAATTTCTGCAAGAGGAGAATAATCCTTGTTTTAAAGGTGATCACTGTAGGTGTCTGGAAATGTTTGAGGGGGTGGCGAAGGGAGAAAGCACACACCCTTTTCTGTCTTTGGTGTTCTCCAGGAAATGTGCACAAGGTTAACGTCACTGTTTTCATTTCATCAGCAAAAGACCGAGAAAGCACCTTAAATCAGGAAAGACTGAGCCCTCGCCACTGAGTTGCAATTTCCCTGCTGATGACAGTGTATATTAACAGGAGAAATTTTGGATTCTGAGCAATAAGAGGCCACAGGGGAATTTAAGGAAGAGGCTGGAAGTGCTAAACAAAGCCTAGCCTGCCAAACTGCAGCAATCGGCATTCTTACTTCCTTTTTAAAGGAACTAAGTTGTTGGTGAAATGATTTTTTTTAAATAAATCGGCTTATGAAAATGAATGGAACTTGGGCCCTTTTCACCCATAATGCCACATTCCAACTGCTGGCCAAAGCATCAAACAGTCTGAAAACTAAGATCTTCCATGCTGCCTAAGAGAATTAGATGCCCACTATAAGTAATGGGAGGTACTAATCTAAAACCCCTAGAAACCTTCGCAAATCTTGGACAATACTTGTATTGCATATAGTTTCAAACAAGCTAATCTGGTGTAGATCACTCTCAGTTTAGCACTGGGTGTGTCTAGACATGCATCAACGCACTTTAGTTAACGCACATTAAATTTAGTACCACCATTGTGAAGTACTAGGACAATGCGCATTAGCTTGTCTTAATGCACATTAACTAAAGAGCATGGTTTTTAGTGACATTTAATTTGCTTTAGCCTATTTTAATGTGTATTAACTAAATAGTACTTTTTAGTGACACTTTTTTTTTTTAGTGACACCCACTGTGTTCCATATATAGGCCAGTTTCCATGACCTATCTTGACATGTTTCATTAATTGTAAAAGAAATCATTAAAAAAAAATTTAAAGGTTTCATTTAGAGAACCTAACCGAAAGGCGAGGGATCACTCTTTCCTGGATGAAGATCTAATTGTTGTTTGTTTTATATGAAAGTTTAGCTAAGTGTATTTCCACCTCTAGAGCCCTCACACTGTGTATAAAAATGGAATATATATATATATATTCTTGTGAATGTTGGTGCAAAAGAGAAAATATATAAAATTGCAGTCAGTTTTATGTTATTTTTTATCTATATAAATGAAAGGAAAAAATGGAAAGCATTTTTTTCATCTCTCACACAAACACACACACAAATACAACTGTAGATACAGACAGGTTTTATGAAAAAGTTTTACTTTTTAGATTTAGGACCACACTTCTGTTCTCATTGAATGTCCTGTCTTGTAAGATTGTAATTTCTATTTTTTTAAAGAAAAACCCTCCGAACTTCCTCTTACAAACCAGTCAGCTAAGAAGGGAGGGTGGGGGAGGGAAGATGTTTATTTAAGGAAAAAAAATCTTTGTCTGAATTTTTCATGACATTAAAAAAAAAGTAATTTAATGTATGGAAAAAAACTTTTTATTGAGGTGTATTCTATAGGTATATAAATGTATATTGCACAAGATTTACAGGAAAAAAATAAAGTCTGTTTTACAAAGTAAAAGAAAATGTGTTGGCAATACTCTGATTGAATTTAACTCCTGTTTCTTGGCAAACGTGAACCAAAGTCTCTTCAAGGATTTCAGTGGGTTTGCATCAGGACCCTGGATTTAGGAAAGGTACCCTGGAGTATGCCTTACTTTAGACATGAACTAGATTACTCACATGTCTGAAGTTAGGTAGAGGCTTAGGCACCTTGCTGAATTGGAGCTTGACCTGGGATTTATTTCTCTTGGATATGCACTGAATTTCTCACCTGTGTCAGCACTGCACCAGCCTAGACACCAACTTTCCCCTAGAATGAAACATTCTTTTGAGTAAATTCATCCAAAAAATGGAGATGGAAACTGGCTGAAATAACTTGCCCAATTAGACTGAATTTTGGAGGCATCAGAGGGTATCAGACACCCAAAACTCTTTCAGTTTCAACATCTATTTATGGGCCTCCGAAAGTCTCAGTTGTCTCGAGCTCCAGGAGTGCCAAATGCAAGACACTCCTGCCCAACTGAACTGTCAGCCTAATTAAGACAAGGCACAACTGCAGCACACAGCAAATAATCAGGAGTAGGAGAGGGAGGATGAGGGTAAGGAGAACGTGTATTTGCAACAGCCAAATAAATAGATATCAGAAGTCCCTATTTACCAGCTGCCTAATCATTATCTGTTTGCACTTTCCAACAGGCAATCTCTATACTTTCTCCCTCTCACACAGTTATGTTTTAAAGAAGAACCCTGCTGTTACTGAAAGTTAGGAGGAGATGAAAACAGTGCAAAAAACCATTATGCAACCAGTCTATCAAAAGCACTTAACCAGCCCCTGTTGCCATAATAATGGAGTTTCCTCACTCTATATAGCAGCCATTGCTCATCTCCAGAAAGACGGAAAGACTTGGTTCAATGTCACGCAGAAGCTCTGCGGCAGAGTAGAAGCCCCTCCAAGTCAAGAGATAATGGTCCCGCTCACAAGATCATTCCTTATCTCCAGGCAGGCAAAATACGGCCCGCGAGCCAGATCCGGCCCTTCAGGCTATTCTACCCGGCCCGCAGTTGCCCCTCAGAAAGGGGGAGCCCCATGTGGAGGCACCGAGTGCGATGGTGCATGACTGGACAACTGGCGAGGGGGCAGGGGCATTCCTGCCTGCAGGGAGGCCCCTCCTGTAGTGCTAGCAGCCCCAGAGCCAGCTTGATCTGGTTTGAAGGTGCGTGCCAGTGAGCTGGGCTGGCTCCGTGCTGCCACGTACAGCACCCCTGGGAGCCATGTGCCGTCGTGGGGGGAGGGGGTCTGCCTGCCACAGGCCAGGAGCGCCTCAAGGGCCTGCTGCTGCCATCTTCCCTACCCTACATCTGTCCTGTCTAGTCAGTCTCTAAGCTCTCTGTCTCTGTGCTTGTGCCT